TAGAAACCACCAGCATGGAGGTAGAAGCATCATGCTGTGGGACTATTTTAACAGATGGACAGTTTAACATGGACACAGCTGTTCCATTTAAAAAACAAACATATCAAAACTGGTTTTAAATTTGATTAAACGGGTAAGTATTAATGTTCTGAAAGGCCCACTCTCTCGAAGATTGATGTCTAATTAATTATTGCGATTTTATTCCCCTTATACATATTCTAAATGTTTTTGTGTTATAACACTTCAACATCCCTTTGATCCATTTCTTGTTAAAGCTGTGTTATAACCATTTTCTCAAAGGTCCAAAAGAAACTTGAGGCTTTCATTGTATTTGCAAGATTTCTAATTAAGAGCATCTTTTTAAACTAAAACACGCCGTCTCCTTATCTTTTAGAGCTTGTAATTATTTGATTGTTTTAGATTGCTTATGGCTACTATGGTAGAAAATATGTTACCTCTAAAACAATCGTCTCCATGTATGTGCACTATTTGTACGGTTAAATAAAGCCTTTTGAAGTTTGCATTTGATCCATTGCGTCTTTTCTGTGCACAACAAGCTTGTGGTTCTCTCCTGGTTCGAACACCCTTCCTACGTCACAGCAAAGACAAAACATCATCCCAATATTTGAATTTCTTTCTGACAAACCAGCTGCTTCATAAAAGAATCTAATAAAAGGGGAAGCTGGGCTGTGATTAATCCTGAAAGAGTATTCAATGCCTTTTTGAAACTAAGAAAAAAAGGAAACTTCAATATTTTTATATATATATTTTTTAACTCTTGTTATTTGGAATAAATGATAAGCATGAAAATTTTGTAAGTTACATTAGCCTCCAGCTAAGTGCACTCAGGATCAGATCCTAATTTGGGTTGAAAAAATGATGATACTGCTTAAATATATCAACATTTAGTCATGTTGCAACTACAAACTATACTGCGTTTTAATAGTTTTAAAGTAAATCAAAATAAAATATGTTATTGTTTGGTTCTTTTTTTTTTTTTACAGATAAATAAAAACAAATGCATGCAACACTTTTTCTATTTGGGAAATTATATTAAAGTCTGTGGTTGTATCGAGAACAAATGTAGAAAAAGCTTAGTTTTTAAGAGACTGTTAAGCTGCTTATGGAGAGTTTGTGCTTTACAAAGTCCTACAAAGATAGTGGTATTTGAAAAAATTCACCATCTTGCTCAAAAATAGAGTCTTATTTCAACAGACTGCAAATATGCATCTAGATACCGGTAATTATACTTTCCTTTAACTCTCTGTGCTATAACCTGTTAGATTAATTCAGCTAATGTTTCCCTAATTCCTTAAATCTGCACAGCCAGTTTAAGAAAGCTAGATGGTACCCTGTGATAAACAGCAGAAATGAACCTAAAGGCATAGGGAACATCTGCAAATTATTACCTGTAACTCTGGTGGTGAATAATACCAACAGAACTGTATGGTTTTTCTAGAATTCCATAGAAATTATTACTCACACAGCAATGAATCACTCGTTCATGTTTCCTCTCTGTGTTACTCTGACAGTTAAACAAGAAAAGCAAATGTTTGTACATTTCTTCCCTTATGCTACTTTGTTGAGGTTTCCTTGGCAGCCTCAGGTTTCAAGAATGACTGTTTAGTCTAAAAATAGCACGTAGAGCTGGTCTGCTTTCTGCTGTACATGGGAGCTTGTAGAGCACTGAAACAAAACACGGATTTGTCTTCATTATATCAATCTTCCACCGCACAGAAGATTGTAAAAATGCTGAAACCCTAAGTTATTTTTATATCAAGATTTAAAGAAATAGTACTGTATTCCTACAATATGCCTTGTTTTTTGGCACAACCCTTTTTTAATGGATTTATAGCTGTTTTAGCTCATCTTTTATCTTTGCTTTTCCTTGTTTCATATTTTAAATATTACTGGAATGTATTTAAGTCCTCTGTTTTTTAAAGCTATAGTGTGACTGCTGTACTGGACTGTTGACTAAGACATAGATGAAATCAATGTATGGATGGCCAAAATGTTCTCAACTGATTACAAACAAAATTAAAGTAATAATTTAAGGATCAAAATAAGAGTGTTTAAAAATTAGCACATAGCTTCAGTTATTAGAGGTAGAAACCACCGATTACTGCTTGAAGTCTGGGTGTAGTGATGCTCTAGAGGCACATAAAGGCATCAGCAAAGTCTGCTTTCTATCATCTAAAAACATCTCCATGACTAAAGAACTAAAGAACTAATGTCTCAGCAGGAGCTCAAAAATGTGTGTTTATCTTTAATAGAACTGATTACTGCAGCAGTATCTTCACATATCTGTCTGCTGAAAAAAGTTAATCAGACGGCTGCAGCTGATTCAGAATGCTGCTGCCCACTTCCTCACCAAAAACAAAGGAAGTAGAGTAAATTACCCCATTTCTAAAACCATTATACTGGCTCCCAGTATCTCATAGAATAGACTTTAAAATATTTCCAATACAGTAGTCTATAAATCACTGGCGTGGCACTAAATACATACTTCTTGTTAGTGGATCAACCTCCCAGATCTTCCTGGTCTTCTGGCTCATATCTACCTCACCAAAATCAGAACGTAACATGGAGAGGCAGCTTTTAGTTCTAATGCTCCACTAATCTGGAATTAACACCCAGAAATCTGTAACAATGAGTTTCTTATTATCCAGATTAAAAATAAACATTTGACTGTGCTGTAAAAAAAAAAATATATATATATATATATATAAGTTTTTTGTCCAACTTTCTTTTACTATCAATAATTATAATCTTAATTTTTATAATTAACTTAGATTTTATATGCTCTTGAATTATTCAAATTCATTGATCAATCAATTACCTCTTCCACTGCAATGTACTTTTCCCTTTGTTTTCCTGTTATGTTTTTTCATGTACAGCAATTTAACATAAATCCCCACTAAATTGTGCTATTTACAGTAAATTAACCTGCAATGCTGAGCCTTGAAATCTTATTAATTGTAGTGTGGTCCAACTTTTCTTTACAATCCTCGTTGAGTTACTCTAGTGTACTTTTTTCCTGCCCTTGTTTTACTTTTGCATCATAGGTGCTTTGAGTTGTCCGGTAGCATTCAGATATGTGTTACACAAATAAAATTGTCCTTCCTTCCTTTTTTTTTTTTATATATAATTGGTTTGGTGTGCAGAGAGTCCTTCCTTTGTCTAGCAGCATGTTTTCCTATAACAAGCTTCCAGCTTGCCTGCATTTTCTCTAGGAGACAGGAGACAGTGCCTCAATCAAACGTTGAGTCCAAATTTTGCAAATTGTAGCTCCTACCTCCAGCTACCAGCTCCTATTCCTACTGACCGATTCAGGCTTGATCCAAATTGAGCAAATCTTTAAAGACACTTGTGGTCTCTGGGGTCACCATGGGGTCACCATGATAAGTGCGATAAGATTAGTGCTGGCAGTAAGAAAGGAGATATGATAGGAGGCAGGATCCTTCATTCAGGACAGAGCTACAGTTTCCCACAATCCTTTGTGTTATATGAAGTGTAAGCATAGCCCACCTCACACAATTGAAAAGCAATACATGATTTATTTACATGTACTCTGGGTGACACATATATGTACACACCTTCATATATTTTGGGTTTTGTAATAGTTTCAGTTGTTCACTAATTCTTTAAAACTTTTGCTTGTATTGTAGTTCTTCTAAGGATGCCTTTTAACCATTTTGGAAAATATTTGCAGACAAAGACTACTGTGATAGAAACTGAGGGAACAGAAATCACACGGGCTTCATTGCAAAATCTCATACCCTACCACCTGCTATCACGTAGCTAATGAAAAACATTTTTGTGACCAGATTACAATTTTTTTTTATTGTGTGTGTGTATTAATTTCCTTAGACTGAGTGCATAAAAGACAACTGATCTTTATTTTTTGTTGCAAAAAGTCAGAGTTAAGTATTCAAACTAGGCTTAATAAGGCTAAAAGACACAATAAGTATGAAACCTGGATTTAACTTTAGGTCCAAAAGTATTCATACTTGTTGAAACGTAAGGATATAGTGGCAGATATTCTTTTTCCAGGTGATCATCAAAAGAAGCGGTCCTCCTGATTTTCAGTCATTCTAGTGATATGTTTAATTAAGGCCATCCTATATGCTTGTCCCCATTTTCACCTACAGGAGGTGAGTCTGACATAGTAGGAAAATTGCAAATCTTCTTTTGGAAAGTAAGCTTGTATGAGCGATGCAAACAGCAACTTTGAAAAAGAGCGTGCACGAGGAGCAATGGGCTCATGCATGCTCTCGCATTAGATTAATAGGCGTTCCCTCTAGGGTGCGGGTATGGGGTTGTGCATGTGTTTTTTTTTCTAGAAGTGGAGAGAGTCTTTTCAAAAATCCACAAAAAAATCCTCCACTGTACCTTTAATACTTCAAATCTGCTAACTTGCTTTGTCCTACAAAACATGTTAAGATAAAAAGAGTATCCCAGCCAGATTCCTGATCAAAGGTCCTGACTTGAATCTATGGAGGGAGGTAAAAGTTAGGGTAATGGAAAGTAGTCCTTTCAACCTTGAAGTGTTGTAGCTATATTAATTATGAAGGATATTTTACTAAATAGTAGTGGTAACACCATCTTTTATCTTTCAAAGAAGCTTGTCATATTTCTTGTCAGAAACATTTAGTTAAATTTAGGTTAGAACCTAAAATATAACTCTGCAAGTTTTAGAGATATGGCATTTTTTTAGTACCATTCATAAAGCTGTGTAAAAATTAGTCCCCTTTACGTGTACTGTTTTGCTTTTATTATTATTTCAACTTATTGTTAAGGACGTCAATTTAATGTCACAAATATATTTCAAATATATATATATATTTTTTTATTTGACATTATCCTAATTTAAATTGCTGTTTGTTTCCAGTTTTGAACCTAAGATACATGGACTACTATCTTTACAGTATTGTTTAAATGAATGATCACACTTTCTTTTGTAGTTTCTAGCCTGAATGTTCAAAAAATACCATTTTCAATTAAAAATCTCAAGAGATAACTTTATTTCCCAAAGTTGTCACAAATGTAGAAATCATCAAGTGTTGCCACTTTCTTTGTCAGCATCAACAGCGCCTTTATCCATCTCTAATCCTCTTTCCTCCTCTCCACTGCCCTCAGCCTGTTTTCCAGTTTGTTCACCCGGCCCTCCAAATTAGAAGCCTTCTCTGAGCTGGAGGTGAACAAAGTCAGCAGGGCGACCACCAGCACCAGAACTCCAACTCGAATGGCTGTGGTCTCTGCAGAGGCGTGCTTGTCAGTCACAATCAGTCCAAAAAGCCAAAGGGCCAGGACGGTTTTCACCACCCAGAAAAGCTGCTTGAAAACACCAATTAGCAGACGGAGAAGGATGGTCAGAATCCAGTAAGCGATGAGGCCCACCAGACCCCACTGGGCGACGGCGGTCACACCCTCTGGGGTGAAGCGTGGAAGCGTCTGCACAACTGTGAAGGCAGAAAATCCAGATTAGAGCAATTTGTCATGAGGAATAAAAGTTATTTGCTCAAGTGGAGGCAGAAGGAGTTAACAATCACACCTACGAAGGTGTGGCCGCCTCACTGCATATTTTCACTTACACTCAATAGGCATGGAAATTTCTAACACTACATTGCAGCAAAGTCAATAAACACAGGCCCAGTGTCTCAGTTTCAAACACTCCTGGTACCTACCATCAAATCCTGTGACTCTGAGGATCTCGCTGACGTAAACGGCGATGACATTCAGGCCGCTGGCAGCTCCTTCAGCCAAGAACCGGATACCCATCTGCAGGAACTGTGTGAAGGAGGGGAAGGGAAGAAAGAGACCTGTTTCACTTTGTTTCTTTGGGTGCTTTATACATTTTTTTTATTTTATTTTTTGCACACAACAGCAATGAAGCAAGACAACATTCTGATCAAGCAGGGGCAAAATGAAGATGAAGGTGCAAGCAGCTACAGAGTTGTTAATCACGCTGAGATGACATTTACTGCAGCTTTTGGCATGGGCCCATAAAACAAGAGGATCTGCAGAGCTGCAGCCCTTGATAGAAGGGACAGCTGGAAGGACCCCCACCCTATTCTCCTCTACAACTTGAAAGTTAGATGCATTACAGTCTTATACTGTAAGATTAGGGGTATCCTGATCACAAGGACAGGGAGGGGGGGGGCTTATCTGCACCTGCTGTATTACACAGCAACACATGGACTGTCCTGGGTGTCAGTGCGAGAGTTTGAACATCTGTCTCTTAATGTCATAGTCTGCTTTAGTGGGCTGGATGTATCAGAGGCATGATTGTTTAAACTCAAAAGGTTTCATAACAAAAAAGAGACAAAATAAATGTACAAAAAAATTAACTGAAACTGATGTGAGCACAAAAAGGCATTGAATACTCTTTCAGACTTTTAATGGTCACAGTTTACTGAAGCCGAGTCGGAGACGCCTGCAGGATTGTTGTGTTTGCTTTTATTCCAAAATAACCTTATTTTCCATGTTCAGTTGGAGGAATGTTTGGCTTAGTTTTTTTGTGTTGCATAAGGAGGCAATTTCCAATGCTGGGGATTGTGAGCACACCTGGAATTTTAACATTCAGAAATCTGCCAACTGAGTCACAGTGAGCTATTTATTATTTAGCCGCAGCATTAAAAAAAATAATTTCTATACCTAACAGCATTGAGAAAGATTACAGGTTTGTATGTGAAGACAGCAAATGAGTTAATGCGACTTAACAGAGGTCATTTTCTACTCCAGCTACAGGTGTTGGATAAGGTGAGCTGTAGGCAAACTCCGGAGCTCCAAAGAGAACCCAGAGACATTTCTTAAGGAGAAGTTACATAATTTCAAATATTAATAACCATAAACCTGGCAGAAGTAGAGTGCTTTGACAGCACTTGAAATTTAGGTCAAATAAAAAAATAGTCTCAAACACAGATGCAGCTTTTTTACTGATCTAATCTGATACCAATACCTGGACCAAGAGCATCAACTGAGATCTGAACCGATTCAGCTGTTTAATGGATGAACCATAGATCTCCCTATGTGAGAAAAGGCTTTAGCCTCGGAATATATATTGTTAAAAAAGGTTAAAAAAAATAACAGAGATATAAATGTACTTTATGTTATTTGTTTACAAATAAGCAACAAAAAAGAAAGAAATAACAGTTTTCTGTAAAGTACACTGAATTGGATCTTCAATATCAAATCACAGATGTCTGCTCCAGGTATCGGGGCGGTTCATCTCTATATAAACACACAGGTGAACATTTTGTGTCTTCTCTCCATTGAACCCTTCATACCATTTTTCACACAGACTTGGCAGATTATTTATACCAGACACAACCAGCAGACAATTCAGGCTCCAATGGATAAACAATGCCACTATTATAGAGCACCATAGACTAGGTTTCATATTCCTTTATACCAAAAATTATCTAGATATTATAGAACATGTTTTTTTTTCCATCCGCAAATATTGTGTTTAAGAAAATTATACTGATAAGAGTGATATAAGTGGATGATTACAAAAAATACATATAAGTTATTATTCTTGGCCCCTTTCTATCTTAAAAGGGAACACTGTTTTTTTTTTTTTTTTTTTACATTGGGACTTGATTTTACGTTATTACATCATGTTCTTACTCACCCATATGAGTTTTGTGTCATTTGGAGGTGTTCCGAAGATATTCCATTAGCTTATATCCAAGTAACGTCTTTCTATGGGCAACGAGTTGAAGGCACAAACTAAACTGTTCATAATTTATCATTTCATATCAGCATTCATAACATGTATGCGAATCACTGTCCCCCAGACATCTGTGGTTATATTTTTTTATATTTATATTTTTTTAAAACAAAGCGTTTAGTTTGTGCCTTCAAGTCGTTGCCCATAAGAAGACGTTACTTGGATATAATCTAACGGAATATCTTCAGAACAGCTCCGAATGACACAAAACTCATATGGGTGAGTAGAACATGATGTAAAAACATAGGGCCCAATGTAAAAAAAAAAAAAAAAAAAAAAAAAAAACGTGTTCCCCTTTAACTCCTTGCAAATATATGAAGCCTAAATAGCTGCCAGATGAATGCCAACAAATTCACAGGGATGCCCATTGCCCACCAACCCCTTGGTGGCGCCACTTGCGAAGTAAGAACCATGCCAAGGCGGATTGTTTTCTTACCATAGCCAAGGTTTGGACGTTCTCCTGACCCAGCATTGATTCTAGATACAGTACAGCACTCTGAGGAGAAGGATGGGCACAGCACGGGGGAGGTGGGGTCATGATGTGGGGTGGGTTAATGTTTGCGAGTGGATGCAGGGGATTTTAATGGGTCATAAATAAGGTGAAGGGATCAGGAGAAGGATTAACAAGTTGAGGGAGGACGGCGAAAGGAAGGTTGAGGAGAAAAAAGTGACAGCTGGAAGTTAATAATCAGGAATCATCAAGAATAGAACATGAGAGTTAAGATTAATAAAAAAAAAAATAACTAAATAAAGGAAAAGCATTTGCAAAGAGGAAAAATGGGTGTAATCATGGTGCATCTCCTGTACCTCAGAAGCAGAGCGTATCACTCCTGCTCCAACCAGAGACTCGGCGTAGCGCTGGATCTCCTGGCAGGTCCCCGTGATGACGGTGCGCAGGGTGACCACCGGCGGGCTCTCCGCCTGGGCCTGCGCGCCCCCGGCGCGGCACAGCGACACAGCGATAGCCAGCAAAGACACAGAAAACCAGAGCCGAGCCATGGTGTGATGGTTCTGTCACTGAACAAAAGGGAAGGGTGGGGAAAAAAAGCGAGAGGACACGTGCCAAGATGTGCGCGCACAGGTAAAGCTGCAGCAGGTCGAGGAGCTTTAGGCGGGCACGGAAATCAAAAGCTTGATTAAAACAGCTTCAGTTAAAAACAATCTGTGGTTCAAACCTGCATCTCAAGCGTCACGAAATATGAGAGTGAAAGAAAAAAACAGTCCTGATCATTCAAACCACAAAACCAGGCAGATCACAATTATCCGGCCAATTATCTTTGGCGGCGCTGCAAAAATAAAATCAATCCACAGCGATCCTGCATCAACAGCGGTAATAATTGGAGTTAAAAGGCTTCCAACGATTCAAAGACACGATGTGGAGGCAGGACGAAGCAGCTCATACATAAAAACCCGAGCGGAAATACGTGAAAAGGCTTCCTTTAGTTGGAGATTTGCGAGAAAACGGGAGTGACGCGATGAACCTAAAGCTTCTTATTCCTGCTCCAGAGAGGCTTCAGGGTTCCTTTTGTTTTCTGCTGTAAACTCCAAACTGCGATGGATTATGTTGCCCAACCCTTTACGGATAAATAAAAAAATCCTTTCCCTGATCTCCACCCTTCCTTCCAGCGTTTCTAACGACTGTTTCCACTGTGAAAACAGGTCTGGATCTTTAGGGAGGAGAAAGAAGAGGGGGAGGAGAGAGCCTGCAGCGCAGGGATAAATACAGATTTGCACACTGGGACTTGTGGTTTAATCATGATCGCTCAGTTTCAGGCTTTAAATCTTTCCTCAACAGAGGCGTAGCTAGAAATTTCTTATAAGGGTGGCCAGCAATGGCGTAATGACACAACAATAGGCCCTTGAGCAAAACTATCTAGGTGGGCCCCAAATGAAGTACAAGACCCCCCTTCTTTGCTTTTTCTTTTCTGGAATCCGCAGATGAATGCCATAGGATGCAAAGCAGGGCACACAGTTTATTAATCCTAGCGCACGGATCAAAAAACCGAGAGCACAGTTTCTTAACCTGCGCGCACGGATTGGAAAACCGTGTGCTCAGTTTATCAATCCGTGTCCACGGATTTCCACCGGCTTTTTTTTTTTTTTTTTTCATACCCTGACACCCAGGGGGCTCTGTACTTTTGGGTATCCATCGTCGCTAACACATTGTACGTAACGGTCATGGTTTTAATCTACGCTCTGGATTACCCATAATTCCATGTCGTATTGTAAAAAATAAAATACTCAAATACATCGTTCTTTTAAGATTTTTATTGTGGTTTGAAACATATATTATAGGAGTGTTGTTTTTTTTACCAACCGTCTAATCAACTCTAGTTATTAACATAGTAATTAAAAGTACCACTGTCTGCTTTGCTATTGGTGTCGTGTTTCAATGGCTCACCATCATGTTGAAATCTGCAATGTGTTGGGGTATAAATATAGCCCGGTAAGTCAATCTAGTATCAGGTGGGTTTAAGAAGAATTTTGCACACCATTACATCCGCAAAGAGATGGCCTAGTCCAAAATTGCATAGGGGGCCAAGTGACAGGGCCCCTAAGAGGTCGGGGGCCCCTAAGCAACTGCAGTCTCTGCTTACCGATAGTTACGCCATTGGTGGCAAGGCAATAACCAATGTACACTCAGGGGTGGCCGAAAGCGGATAGCCACCAGAACTTCACGTCAATCTACACTGTTCCAACAGAAAAATTAACAAGCACAACGTCCCTATTTTCTAAATAAAGTCAAACTATACTTTCCTACAGCCTTTGCTAATAAATAGACGAATATACTTAAACATCCATAATTTCTAGATAAAAGGTATAGTGGATGAAACTCAGTTTTGAGTTCTGGGGCGTCAATCAATCCTCATTGTAATTACTTACCTACTTGAATCACTAAACATTCAGCATAAAATTGATATTTACAAGCACTAATATCTACATACATTATTTGATAAGTTTTTATTAAAATTTTATTTATCTTTAATTTCACTGAAGACTCCTCAATCAATGACTTGCAGAGACACGTAATTTTCGCTTTACCCCATATGAGACAAAATTTTGTTCTAAAAAGAGCATGAATTCTGTACTCATCTTTGATGTCAGTTTATTGATGTGAATAATTAACCACAAAAATTTTTTTTTTGAATATTCCACTTGAGAGTATTACTGCTGCCACCATCTGTATGAGAGGGAAAAAAATGGTAGGGGTGGCCAATGATTGGCTAATGGTGGCCATGGCCACCCCTGGCCCCCCATGTTGCTCCGCCCCTGTTTCTCAATGGTTATAACATTATTGACCAGAAATATTTTTGCAGCCATAGAACAAATATCAAGTTAATATACAATATTAATGGTTGTCAGATTTGTCCTTATTTGACTCATATTTGCTCCAAAATTTTATGATGTGCTGTAACGTTAAGAGTAGCCTAATTCATGCAGTCAAACTAACAAGACAAATAAGGAAATTTTAGGAGCTGTAGTCATAGTAAAATTTCATTTTTTTAAGCTGTTTTACTTCATTTTAGTTAAAATATGTCATGTTTAACATCCACTTTAAAGGTATAGTGGAGGATGTGTCTTTTCCGAGTGGATCATCAAAATAAGTGATCCTCCTAATTGTCAACACTGTTGCATGCATTTAATAAAAGTTCCTCTTGCGAGCAGGTACAGTGTAGTGTATGTGGGGTTTTTTTAAAGTGGAGAGGGTGGGTCTTTTTTAATATTAGCGAAAATCCTTCATTATACCTTCAATGGAGAACCACTTATCGATGCCTTCCCAATTTAAATCAGAATGTTTAGAATAGGATCAGTCCAATAATTGGCTTGTATGAAGCTACATCAACACAAACATACAGCTTTTGATTCGCTGTCCGTTGCAGAGACTGTATAGAAATGATCAAATCTGGAATCAGGGACATATTTGATATCAGTTTAATAACTAACTGAACATCAAATACAGCACAACTATTGAGATATGACAGGATTTGGAAGCAAAAAAAGATCATTTGTAATTAAAAAGCAAAAACGATCACATTTACAATTAACACTTAATATAAACACCTGAAATACTAACAGAAATGTTATTTTTTTTCACTGCAGGGCTTTGTCTATTGTTTTCATAGCTTGTTTTTATATGCAAACACAAACACGCAACAATCACTCAGTATAAAATCATTCCTTCTGCACCAGAGAACATCAGTGTAGTAGTGGATACTAGATGGGAATGTTTCATTGTGTAAAAAAAAAAACCTTTTAATAAAGTCTTCTATTTAGAGCACAGCGGAAATCCTCCTATGAAAGGGTGGACCATGTGATTCCAGCGCTTCAGGCAGAGACTTAGCCGATGTAAATGCGATGGAAGTCATTCGCTCCAAATGCGGCGTTGCACTTGGGGCACTTCCTCTGCCGAGTGTCGTAGCGCGTTTTGACACACTCGAAGCAGAAGACGTGGAAGCATTTCGTCAAGACAGCGTCCTTCACCCGGGAGTTGCAGCACGGGCACGTGAGTCGAGCCTGGAGGAAAAGAAAAGGAGGAAAAGTTTTCAGTAATCGACAGGGAAGCCATTTAGGTTTAGAGTGGTTTAACATGAATGCAAGCAAATATGTGGAGCAGGCTTCATTGTTAGTGAGATGTTTTTACAGCTGACTCATACATAAGCAAGACTTACAAAACATTCAGATTAGTCATTATTACATAAATCTACTCAAACTACAAATTTATGGAAAAACAGAAAAATTGGGGTGTAACTGCTGTTGGGATCAGAGCAAGTCTTCTAAATTATGCTGGTGTTCAGTCCCTGAAAAAATTTGAATCATGACCAAGACACGCTGACTTCAAAGCTAAATGTTTATTCTAGTGAAAGCTTGTTGGAAATGAAAGTGTTCTATTTTTATGTCGACTGAACATACCTTGTACTCGTTAATTTCCTCGTTCAGGATCTCGTCTCCATTGCTGATCTTCTCAGCTGGTTTCTTTGCCTTCTCAATTTTTCTCCTAAGCTTGGAAATGTCCTCCTGAAAAATAAAATCACTGCCTTAAGGAAATTGCTGTTGAGGCGATTAATTTTGCAACATTAAGTGAAGCTGTGTGACCTTGAAGTGATCATTAAGAATGGAGAACAATTTAGTTTTATTAAAAGCTGAAAACACTGAATCCGTTAAGCACTTTTCACAACACTTAAGGATCTTGTGTCTAAAACACTTTATTTCTATTCTAAAATGATCTGAACTAATGCCTTCATTAGGATTTCAAGATTCAGAGAAGTCATCCAGTGAAGATGTGTGCTAAAAATAAAATGTTGTTTTTGCTGTTAGACATTATTATCAAACTCTTTACAAAAGCAAAATGAACATTTTTCATTTTGCTTTTTTAAAATAGCCTGTTGCTGTTTTTCATGCAGTTATAAATACTTATTTTGTTATCAGCTGCATATTTTATTCATCTAAGTATGCAGTTTGAAAGCGTTTTTTCTTCTGTTATAAACTTCCGAGTTGCTGATGTAAGCACCTGAATTTTACCACTGTGTTTAAAATGAAGGATATTTCTACTCTAAATTAAGTATTCAGTGTTGGTTCCCCTCAGAATGTTGGTAAAATCTCAGATTTCCAACTGTGATTTCATCACATACCGAAGCAGCAAAGCAGCTTATTTGACCATTTAGAGCATTATATGTAAATTTAAAGCTGAACCAGACACAGATATAGGAATTATTAAAAAAACAAATTCTCTTTATCATTACTTTAATAAATACTAATGGTGTCAATTTTAAATGCAAACATTTTAGATGCCTTACAAATAGAATAAACTTAAGATGCCTAGAGTATATTATTTTTCTCCCCAAATATTCTTGTGTTTTCAGCATATTCACATATTTTAAAATCAAATGTTGGTAAATACAAAGACAAACTTTCAAACTGCGACAGTTCAGACCTATAGTGTAATATCTGGTATAAGGAGGTATTGAAATACCGACCATCAATAATTAAATTTTGGCCTTTATCTTAAAAAAAATCTAGTTAATTTTTAGTCTTAAACAGTAAATATAGAGAAAATTAATAGTTTTATTCCTTTTAGTTTGTCTTAGTTTCAATAATCAGTATATTGCAAGTTTTTTCATCTATTTAATTGGAGATGTTGACCATAGTTTAGCCTCTATGAGACTGTGTGTTACAAAAAACTATTTAATTTATATTGTTCTGCATTCTATTTTATTGGCTTGTGTATGTGTGTATGTTACCTGTGCTCTGCGAGCATTGAAGGACTCTTTCTCCCTGGAGATGCTGTTCTCAACCACCTCCTCTCGGACCAGTTTCAGCTTCTGCTGGACCTGCTCCAGCTGAGCTCGCAGCTCCTCAGACAGCAGCGCAGACTCCTGAGCCTGCAGCACCGACAGACGCCATTCATCCTTAAAGGGGGTTTAACAAGGATGCATCTGCATCTGGGTAGAAGCTGTAATGTGTGTTACCTTTCGTTTGTTCATGTCCAAAGCTTGTGTACGAAGTCCCAGCTCTCTCTCTGCAGTGCTTATAGTCCCCTGCAGGAGGCGCTCCTTCTCCTCTAGCTTCCTGACTACCTGCAGCTGTGCGTCCACCTGTCAACCAGAACCAAACTAATAAGTCCATAACATCACATTAACAAACACTATTATAACTAAATTAAAAAGATGAATGAATCAAATGTGTCATA